CAATATACAATATACAATATACAATATACAATATACAATATACAATATACAATATACAATATACAATATACAATATACAATATACAATATACAATATACAATATACAATATACAATATACAATATACAATATACAATATACAATATACAATATACAATATACAATATACAATATACAATATACAATATACAATATACAATATACAATATACAATATACAATATACAATATACAATTTGTACATAAAACAATATTACACAATTTATTAAAAATAACATATTTTACAATATATATTATTTATTTTTGTGTTTAAATTGTTCAATTTATTGTGATAAACATCAATATCAATATTAATATTAAAAATATTAATAAAAGTTAATTTTTAAACGATATGCAATATTATTTATATTAGTTTATTAGATATAATTAAATAACAAACCTGGACATGTTTTGAAAGTGCCATCAATGAGAAGTATCGTTGATTGGCAAATAAAAGTAAAATATTCTTTTTTTCCCCAAATATAACCATTTCTTTATCACTATATAATATTAATTCTTTTTCTTCATTTGTAAAAACAATTTGATCAATTGATGTTAGATTCAGAGCAATTGGTTATTTAATTTCACAAACCTTTCTCCAGTTGAAAATCGTTTGGTTAAATTACAAACATAATTTTTAGCGACTATTACTGAAGTCGTTTTATATGTAGAGTAATTGCTTTTTGGAGAATCTCTAAGCAGACACGTGTAGTAATTATCCAAATAATCAGAAGTTTTTTGTCATGTTCTTTTTTACCACGAAATTTAAAATTGTCTAAATGACCATATTAATATCGATGACACCAAATTATTTTCCCGCATACTCTACAATGAAAAGACTTGGTAGCACGATGTTTTGGAGAAAATTTATAACCGTCAACATGAGACATTTCTTCGCCTCTTTCAGATTGTAATATAACAAAATGTAGAAAAGAAGGAAATTTTGATGATGAATTCTTATAAAATTCCATTGTTTAAATGAACGGTTTTGTATTTCAACCCCAATAAAAATTACTAGCTTTTAATATTCATAATGGTTTTAAATTATAAAATACAATCAAATCAATAAACGTTTAACAAAAAAATATAATTGATGTTTAATGTCATTTAATATAAGCACATTATTTTATAAAAAAATGTTATATAATATAAAACATGAATAAAATGATCATTTGTTGTAATTTGTTAAACTTGCAATTCTTTTTTTCTTTTATAAATAATTTTTTATGAAAAAAAGTGTTTTGTTGATGAAAACGCCAATACTTTCAGTGTTTTTATTAAAACATTTCCAAAAATTAAAGAAAAAACTATAAATTATTGTTTGCGTAATTGGTTTGTTTGCTGTTTGCATTTTAAAAGAGTCATCACAAGGTATATTTTTGTGTATCATATCAAGTTCAAATAAAAATAAAAATTGTGTTTTATTTAAAACTGTAATAGTATCGTAAGGTTAAAATAAATTTCATTTTAATCACCACATGTATATATTTATAATAAATAACTATTATATTCTATTAATATAAATAATAGTGAATATAGATATTTTATTTATTGTATACTAAAATTTATTGTTGAACTTATGTTGAATTTTTGTGAAATTACAGGGGTGAATTCTCAAGGGGCGAGTTTTCCTTTTCCCATAAAATGCGCCTGGATGGAATGGTATCGGAAATTGACAAGAAATTAATTTCGCTGGACATGATGTACCAAAGGTTTTTCAACTTTGATGTTTGGAAGAAGAATAAAAAAAGAAAGGTGATAATAAGAAATAATATCGAGTTAGTTGTCAGTAAATAATTGCCCATCTTGAAACATGATTAAAGAGCCTAACACTGGAACAAAAGTAAAAATAATTAAACCTAATACATAAAACGAAAACGAATTACTAAAACATAATATTAAGATTTAGGAAACGCTTAAGTTAAACTGTTGAAAACCAAAAAGGTTAAAACGCTGTTTAAGTGCTTGAATCCGAAGAGAAATTATGTAGAAGGACTATGAAGTGCCAATGCTCGAATTATACTCAATGAATCAGTATAAGGGCGATAGACTATTAAAACTACAAGAACTATCTCTTGACAATTAATTATGAAAATTCAAGTCAGAAAGTCTCACCATTTAATCGGGTATTAATTGTGTCTTTTCGATTTGTTTGATATTATACTTTGATAATGTTATGATGTTTTATATAATGTTTGGTTGTTGAAAATTTCTGGTAACAATTTTATTATTGTTTTTAGTCATGTTAAAATAACAAATCTTTTGACAAATTGTGCTATGGTTTTTAATTGACAAATTGTAACTTTTGTTTTTTGTTTTGTTGTTATTTTTATGTTTGTATTTTTGTTATAAAAATGTTATTAATCCCGTAAAACAAGGTATTTGTTACCAATCATTTTTTTGGGAAGATAATTCACTTTCGGATTTGTTCATATTTTAACTACATTTTTATTATAGTTTTAGTTGTGTTATTAATTTATTGTTTTGAATAAAAGGCAAAAATATATTTCATCCTATATCTGCTTTTTTTTTATCTAGTTTTTACTATTGAAATATGATACATATACTATATATTTATTATTTTATTTTGTTTATTAAAAACCAAATAAATGTTATTAAAATGTTATACAATATTAAATATAAATGTACTATTAAATACTTCAAAAATTATTATAATATTAATACAAAAGATAATTATTGTTCTATTTTGTTTGTTATAGTTAGGTTAATTTAATTATGTAGTTATAATAAACAAATCTAATTAAATAAACTTTGTTTATACTATAACATTTACCAAATTTTTATAATTGTTTAACTATTTGTTTTTACTAATGTTCTAAAAAGAAACTAACTATGATGAGAATTTTAAATGCATTTTGCCAAAAAAATATTTCAGTGCAAAAAAGCAATTCTTGCCGAATCATGCAATAAATCCTATCTAAAAATTTTAAAACTGTAAGATGTCTGCAACAAAGCCATCGCGAAATAAAAACACAAAAATCGAGAGCCGTGCAAGGATAGACGGTTCACTTTACAAAAAACTGAAAATTACGCAAAAAGCTTTAGGGTATGCCAACCTATCGGACTTTATTCAATTTTTATTAAATGAGTTTTCAAAAGAGGAACAAGTTGTAATTCAGGATGAATCTTTCCAAACAGAATCGTTTTGGTCTCAAGTTATTCAGACACTTCTCCAGAACGGTGTGTTGACCCCAGAGTCTCTTGTAAACGGCGTCTCAACAGACCCATACATATTCCAACAAATTATACAACTCTTCCAAGGTCAACAAATTCAACAACTTCAGGAAACACAAATACCACTCGACGTTACACCTCCGACACACGTCGAGTGTCACTGTGCTTCTGATTGCAAATGTCGGGCAGCAAACTACACACTCAGCGATTGCATTTCGATGACATGTCAATCGGACTGTTGCACAATTTCTTCATATGTTGATGACGAGAATAAAGTGAAATTTGTTTGTTCGTGTTGTGCTGGGCATTTCCTGGAACCACTCGAAACTATAAACTGACTCACCACACTAATTGTTGTGTGAATTGTTTTATTTTTGCTATTAATTAGTGAGTTGTTATCATTTAACGTTTTTCTTATAAAAACATTTTTTTATTAAATATTAAACTTGCTCAATGCAATTGAAAACAATTATAAAAAATAAAAAAATATTTTTTGTCCATTAATTAATTAAGTCAACAAAAAAAAGCTATAACAGAATGTTATTCAATTATTTTATTTTTTCAAACAAAAAAGTATAATAGATGGAAAAAAGAAAAAAATTAAGTGGGTCATTAGGCTCAGAAAAAAAGCGGGAAATAAGTCTCCTCAAAATTTGCCTCAATCACCCATTTTGTTATTTTTATTACCATTTTACGATAATAGCTTTATGACATAACACACGTTTTATTTAACATATAAAGTTTGAACTTTCGGCATATTAACAATTCATTTACCATATTCGGAAAATGTCAGTTTGTTATTATTCGATTATTTTCATACTCATTCGCTTTTACAATACTTTACATTTGTGATTAAATGAGGCATTTTTTCTTTCGGGTGTATTTATTTGAACTTTTATAAGCAATTTTAAAGAAATGGCAACAACATCAAAAATGTGCACTTACCCAACCAAGTTGTGTTTTTGCACCCCAAAATCGAAATAATGGGAAATTAATCTTAAGTTAAATGGATGACCTCCCAAATTCCCGTTTCTTTCGAACAACGACTTTTATTATTATCCCACTTTTTGTGGATAAAAGATGACACCAAATAAATATATATTTTTTTCACAAAAAACAGAAGACCTTGTAAACCAAGTTTCCATATATTAGTGGAACTTCCCGAAATCTTGCACCAAAGCCTCGTTTTAACTTTCGTACAGACTCTTCGAAAAACGTGGAAATGTTCTTCAATTTCTAAACAATTCAATCACCCCAAATCTTATCCAACAACAAACTGATTATCCACCAAACATGTCTAAAGCAGTCATCACTAGCAACTTAGACTCTGAAACCCTATCAAAAACAGTCGAGAAGGGGTGTTTTGAGCCGTATAACGAGCGGTTCATTCAAGATGGTGTCCACGATCTTCCTAATGAAGAAGAGAGTGTTGATCTTCAGTTCAAAAAGGACAGCGATCCAACAGCAGGATCTGCTGTCGCCTCACAAACTGAGGTGAGCACAATGCGGTCCTCCATTATCCGACGTCTTAGAAAGACTGATACAAAACAGACCCCTTCGCCAACACAGCCACTGGCTGACACAAAGGATACCGATAATAAAGATATTCAGACCAACGAAAATGGTGTTCACAAAGACGATGAAATAGATGAGGAAGAAATTAAAAAGCTGCAAAACAGTAAAGAAGGAAAAGGATTTACTGTGGAAGATGTCATCGCCAGAAACTTCCAAGAATTGTTGCTAGAAGAGAAAGAATACTCCAGACTCCCAAATGGAAAAATGCGCAGAAACGCAAAAACAAATTGGACAATCGCGTTCAAATCGTTACACTTCGGATTTTCGTTGGTCGGGTCTTTAATTGGTGCAGGTATTCTATCGTTAGCCTTGACGTGTAGTAAAATGGGAGTAGTTGGGTTTGTTGCATGGAATATACTGACCATCGTATATTTCATATATACGTGGTTTTACTTTAACAAGGCTATTTACTTGACTGGCGCCGCAACACTTGGTGAGTTACTATCGCTTGTTTTTGGAAATGCATTTGCCATTATTGTGGACGTGTGTAACACATTATTCTTTATTTGTGTGTTAATGTCAGATCAAGTGATAGCAACGCAATACATCTTCGGTATTATTCAAGACACAACAACACGGGATCAGTGGAACAATACACTGGACCAGTGTTATGGAAAACCACAGCAAACAGCTGGTATTGCTTGTGGGTGGCATTACATCATTTTGTATTTAGTCGCGGTTATTCTCAACTTCCCATTAATCATCCCACGCTCTGTCAAATTTTTGAGCAGAATTTCCACGTTAACGCTTGTCTCGGGGCTTGTCACTACCTTTTCGATTTTAGGGAAATTGATATACTCTGTAGCTGCAGGTAAATCATCCAATGGAAGTGATGAGAACTTCCCAACATTCAACGGAAAGTTGTGGCCCCCAGGTTTCATGTCGTTCTTCACAATGGCACCGTTTGTTTTGTATATATTATACAAATAATGTACATAACACAAAAATAGACTCATTTTAAAGTTTCATTTCAGCAAATTTCCAAGTCCATTCGTGCCTTCCTCCACTTTATGTAGGTACAAAAGGAATGTCTAAGAAAACAAAATTAGTTTCGCTTCAGGCTGGAAGTGTCATTTCAATCATCACCACGGTTATATTCTATTTGATTGTGGCAATAAGTGGAGACGTTTCTTTCGATAAAGTGTCTGGAAACGTTTTGAACGATTTTTCAAACCCAAACAAAACTGATATTGACTGGATCATTTTGATATGCAGAGCGCTGATGATTGTTGTTGTCTGTGTTGCATATCCCATCATCATGTACCCTACATGTGCGGGAATTATTCGTTACATTCCGCGCAATTGGAAATTTATGCAAATATGGAACGGCACTCTTTCTATTCTAGTCATTCGAATTTTGATCTTGTGTTTGTCGACGTTGTGTGCAAGTTTTGTGACGAATATTGGTGTTATCTTTTCTGTTGGTGCTGCAATATTCAGTATTTTTGTTGTGTATATCGGTCCATTGAGTATCATTATGCTTTGGCCTCGAATTGAGAAACTTGGCGATCCAAATTTCCGTAAACTTAGTATTTGGACAACGTT